GTTGTCTTTGTGTGTGCTGGGCCGGGTCAGCACGCTTCCCAGGGCTGCCGTATGGGCTGGGTCTCCGGGGATCACTGTCCCCATCTGCACACTGCCTCCTGTTTGCCATGTATCTGCAGATGCTTTCGAAGGACCCAGTTAGGTAAAAAATAACATATCTGAAGCACAAATCTTCACTAAAGTGCTAGTATGACCTCTGCAGAGTGACAAAGATAATATAGGAAGGAACAATCCACTTAGGAAGGAACAGTCAGTTTCACACATACAGAATGGGAAGCGACTGTCTAGGAAGGAGTACGGCAGAAAGGGATCTAGGGGTTATAGTGGACCACAAGCTGAATATGAGTCAATAGTGTGATGCTGTTGCAAAAAAAGCAAATATGATTCTGGGATGCATTAACAGGTGTGTTGTGAGCAAGACACGAGAAGTCATTCTTCCACTGTACTCTGCGCTGGTTAGGCCTCAGTTGGAGTATTGTGTCCAGTTCTGGGCACTGCATTTCAAGAAAGATGTGGAGAAATTGGAAAGGGTACAGAGAAGAGCAACAAGAATGATTAAAGGTCTAGACCTATGAAGGAAGGCTGAAAGAACTGGGGTTGTTTAATTTAGAAAAGAGAAGATTGAGGGGGGACGTGATAGCCGATTTCAGGTATCTAAAAGGGTGTCATAAGGAGGAGGGAGAAAACTTGTTCATCTTGGCCTCTGGGGATAGAACAAGAAGCAATGGGCTTAAACTGCAGCAAGGGAGGTTTAGGTTGGACATTAGGAAAAAGTTCCTAACTGTCAGGGTGGTCAAACACTGGAATAAATTGCCCAGGGAGGTTGTGGAATCCCCATCTGTGGAGATATTTAAGAGCAGGTTAGATAAATGTCTATCAGGGATGGTCTAGACAGTATTTGGTCCTGCCATGGGAGCAGGGGACTGGACTCAATGACCTTCCAGTCCTTGTATTCTGTGATTCTATGATTTTATGATTCTGTCATATGCGTGAACTTGAAACAAATGTTTAACCGCTATCATTTTAATAACTTTAGCAGGTACTTTTAAAAAAAGATATTTACATCCCTATTTTGAATCCCCTCCCCTCGTGTCCTTGGCACTTTAGATATGACATTCTTTACAAAATGTTTCTTCTTCCAGTGACTGCTCCTGTCGATTCCAAGTAGGCGTGTGCACAGTGCATGCACACTTGTTGGAAAGCTTTTAACCCGCGGGAGTGGCACTCTCGTGATGCTGAATCTATGCTCCAGCTGGCCGGCCTCTTTTCAGGTCCCTTTTACCACCTGGGACCGTCATTAGAACTGACTGCTTGTAGGGCAAGTGCTTCCCTTTGCGTGTTCAGTAGCTGTTAGTTTGTAGTTCTAGTTTGTCTGTAGAGCTGTAGTTTGTAAATAAGGCAGTCCTCACGAGTGCCCCAGCCTCTGTATGCAACACGGTGCCAACAAAGGTCTCTGGCCTGAGATACCATCGGCACTAGTGCTCCCCAGCACCACGGGCTGCAGAGACGACCAAGCACTGCCATCACACTCCAGCGCAGGAAGCCTGATCAGGGACACACTCTCGTGCTGAAGACAATTGTACCAGGGGCAAGGCAGCAGTGTGCCCTACGTAGGGACACTACGTGACAAGAGCGCAGGAATCGAC